ATAAATTGTCTTTACAAGTAGAAAAAGATCCAATCAGATTGGAACGCCGGGTATTCAACTCTAACAATCTCCCACTTGCCCTAGTTCCAATCACCCATGTATTTCAGGCCCATCTTCTCAAGATGTCCGTCAAATGCCTTTTGTGATAAGGGCTTAGTTAGGGGGTCTGCTACATTTTCTGCTGAAGCGACTCGATCCACAACGACGTCGCCTCTAACAATGATCTCTCTAATCAGGTGGTATCGCCTCATAATGTGTTTGGACCTTTGTTGAGATCTTGGCTCTTTCGATTGCGCTATAGCCCCATTCATTATTGGATCAACAACAGACGGGACTACACCCAACCCTTGGATGAATTTCTGAATCCAAACAGCCTCTTTTGCAGCATTTGATGCTGCAACGTATTTGGCCTCGGTAGTGGAGTCAGCTGTCGTTTCTTGTTTGGAACTCTTCCAACTAACTGCTGCTCCATTCAAGGTCAATATGTATCCGGACATTGATTTTGAGTCGTCTTTATCGGACTGAAAACTAGAATCAGTAAAGCCTTCTAGTTTCAGTTCTCCATTGTCGTATATCAAAAAGATATCCTTAGTCCTTCTCAAGTACTTAAATATTATCTTAACGGCCTTCCAGTGTTCCTCCCCTGGATTGGACTGATATCTGCTCGTGACACTAAGTGCATGAGCCACATCAGGCCTAGTACATAACATCGCACACATAATGCTACCAATAGCTGATGCATAAGGTATACGAGTCGTCCTTTCTCTTTCTTCAGGTGTCTTTAGAGACATAGCCTTAGAAAGTGAAACACCATGACTCATTGGAAGGTATCCACATTTAGATTCCTCCATGCTAAACCTCTTTAGCACCTTACTTATGTACATCGACTGGGATAGTCCGATCATCTTTCTAGATCTATCTCTATAGATCTTTATCCTAGGATAAAAGATGCTTCCCCCAAGTCTTTCATGGAAAACTGTTTAGACAACCAAGTCCTTGTTAACTGTAACATTCCTACATTATTCCCAATGAGTAGAATGTCATCAACATAGAGCACAACAAATGCTACTGCATTCCCACTAACCTTCTTATAAGCACATGGTTCATTCGGATTTTTATGAAAATCAAACGTTTTGATCGATTCATCAAACCGGATGTTCCAACTCCTTGAAGCTTGTCTAAGTCCATATATGGATCTCTGGAGTTTGCAAACCATTTGCTCACTACCACTGGATATGAAGCCCTGTGGCTGTTTCATATAAATATCCTCCTTAATGTTTCCATTAAGAAAAGCAGTCTTCACATCCATTTGCCATATCTCGTAGTCATAATACACAGCTATGGCTAGCAGTATCTGAATGGATTTAAGCATAATAACTGGTGAAAAAGTTTCCTCATAATCAACACCTTGCTTTTGAGTATAACCTTTTGCAACCAGACGCGCTTTAAAGGTATTCACCTCTCTATCTACTCCAATCTTCCGCTTGTAAACCCATTTACAGCCAATGGGTACAATACCCTGTGGTGGGTACACCAAGGTCCATACCTTGTTTGAGTACATGGAGTCCATCTCAGACTGCATAGCTTCTTGCCATTTAATCGAGTTACATAGCTTGTTGGATCATTATCCAAAAGGAGTCCCTCTACTTTGTTATCTAACAATAGGTTCAGCCTCTCAGGCGCCCTAGAAACCCTTACAGATTTCCGAAGAGGTTGTGCCTCAGAAAGTCCAGTCTCAACTGGTGTGTTATCCGTGACAACTGGTGGGATAGTTTCTGGTTCTTGTTCTTCATTAAGTTCTACAACCTCACCATTCTTATCAGAGAGAAACTCTTCTTCTAAGCAAATGGCATTCCTCGAAACAAACACCTTTTGTTCAGAGGGGTCATAGAAATAGTATCCTATAGACTCTCTTGGATACCCCACAAACTTACATAAGATGGATCTCATATCCAACTTATCTCCCACTTGCCGCTTCACGTAAGCAGCACACCCCCATACTTTGAGATATTTGTAAGAAGGTGTTTTGCCACACCACATCTCATAAGGTGTGTTAGGCACGACTTTACTTGGCACCCTATTCAATAGATATACCGTCGTTTCTAAGGCATTACCCCAGAATGAAAGAGGTAAAGCAGTGGAACTCATCATTGATCGAACCATGTCTAACAAGGTCCGATTCCTCCTTTCTGAAACTCCATTAAGCTGTGGAGTACCAGGAGGAGTCCACTGCGAGAGAATCCCATTCTCCTTTAGATAATCAAAAAACTTAGTGGACAAATACTCACCTCCTCGATCTGATCGAAGAGTCTTAATACTACGACCACTTTGTTTCTCCACCTCACATCTAAATTCTTTTAACTTTTTAAAGGCTTCAGATTTATACCTCAAAAGGTATACATAACCATACCTAGAGAAATCATCGATAAAGGTTATGAAGTAGTGATAGTTCCCTCTCGCACTAACGTTTAGTGGTCCACAAATGTCTGTATGAATCAAATCCAACAGACCTATAGCTCGCTCCACTTGTCCAACAAATGGTGATTTTGTTATTTTTCCTTTAAGACATGACTCACATGTAGGCAACTTATTTTCTCCCCTAAGGTTGAGTTTTGGTCCCAATTTGTGAATCCTCTTTTCAGAAATGTGACCCAACCTAGCATGCCAAATTTCAAACGAACTACGATTATCTAACTTTCTTTAATTTTGTTGAATAGTTAGGATGGGACTTTGATGTTTAACAGTGTATAAACCATTTTCCAAATGACCGGAATATATAAAAGCAGTATCTTTGAAAATGGAACAACTTCCACTCTCAATAACAAACTTAAAACCCTCTCTATCCAAAACTGAAATAGAGATAATGTTTCTTATAATATCCGGAACATAAAGACAATTGTTCAAACACAAACTCACACCATTATTCAAAGCTAGATAAACAGTCCCTATAGCTTGTGCAGCAACTCTTGCTCCATTGCCCATCCTAAGGACCATTTCCTTATTGTCTAGCTTTCTACTTCTTGCCATCATTTGCAAATCATTGCAAATATGTGAACCACAACCGGTATCTAATACCCAAGAAGCATCATTAACTGATAAGTTAACTTCAACAAAATAAACACCTGAACACTTCAGGCTTGTAAGATATTCCTTACAATTCCTCTTCCAATACCCCAATTTGCCACAATGGAAACACATTTGATCAGTCAATTTGTTTTGCTCAAGAATACATGCAATTGGATTTTTAGCCATTTTAGTAGAGTGATCTACAAAAATAAATGAAGCAGAAAATGAGCAGACTATGGAAAATATATTCATTTAATATAAGGCCTTTGATATTAAATGTCTCCCACTATTTTAATTAAACCCCATAAAAATTTTGAAAATCAAATTTTCATAGTGGGCTTGAAGTCCAATAAAAAATATTTCATATCCCAATTTTATGAGCACTCATGAAATAATTATATTGGTAGTCAACTTTTGACAATTGTATCACTATACAACCTTCAAGATTATTTTTGCCTCACCTTTCCTATATACCCCAATTTTATGAGCCCATATAGTACTTAGTGTCAAATCAAACCCATCAAACCTTCGTGATAGTGGCGCATCAAGGTGTCCCACGACTCGCGGCCAACACAAAGACAAGTCCACCTCACGAGCATCTCAATGCTTGGTAGAGATCACACCTTTCAGCACAAGGCCACCCCACGAGTCATGGTCAGTGACCGAGCACCGTAGCATCTTCATGTCATCTACCTTTGATGGAAGACATGGATTAATAGGTCCCACCTATATTTATCCATTATAATTTGATATGGAATTAATCGAATTAAATTCCTTAAAAGTTTCAAAAACTTAGGGTTTAGTTTAAAGACCTCATCAACTTAATTACTAAGTGGGTTTATTTAATGCAACATTCATCACATGAAGCACAAGCAAAATGCATTAAATAAATCTAACATGCATCCTATGCAGAAAGCGATGGGATGATCATGGCCAACCTATGCGACCCATTCGAGCCAAAAATGGGTCAAGGCCAATCTAAGAGATAAAATAAATAGAACTACTTCTATTACATTTAATTTGATTTACCCATACATGCATGGGCCTTCAATTTCTATTCTATTACAACTTGTAAAACTTACCCACACAATCGTGGGCCTCTTGCATCGAACGGCCTCCAATCAAAATTAGAAAACCTCACGATCTAATCTACTCTCGATGCAATAATTTAAAACTTTTACAAATAATAGAATAATAGGCTTGCAGGCCCCAAAAACCCAAAGATAAAACATACACATCCAATCACACTGGTTAAAAGGCTCATGATCATCCCTAAATAAAACATGCTAAAACATTCATCACATGAATCAAAAGCATATAAACTTACCAATTTTGTGTGTTGATTTAATTTGGGATTGAATTAAATTTAACTATTCATAATAGTTAAATATAAAAGAATAAACATTTTTTTTTTAAATATATCAGCATGTGGGGCGCAAACAATTGCCCCACCAAAAACTTGTAACAAACAAAATAACCTATCTTTATGGGTGACGTGGGGTGGCAGAACATGTCCACCCCACACATCTGTTTTTTCGGAAAATTCTTTTAAAATCCCCAACCCCTAATTGAGTTACCTTGTCAGTCCCCACCTTTTTTTTACTTCCTCTACACTCCCTATATCTAATTTCTCTTTCCAAATGACTCCCCTGTTCCTAGTACTACTCTTATTATTATTCATTTATTTTACCTTATTTTCATAATAAAATTGAAAGCAGAAGCTCGTCTCCCTCCCCGTTCAACTCGTCTCTCTCTCTCTCTCTCAAAATTTCATCATCGACCGACGCTCTTTCTCTCAAAATTTCATCGTCAATCATCTGTCTCTCTCTAAAAATTCCACCTCTCTCCGTTCGTCTCTCCCTCTCTCTCTAAAAATTCCATCACCAATCGTGTCTCTCTCTAAAAATCGCCGGCCAATTTCGTGCGAAAATTCCATGGTCTTCCTCGTCGTTCCACATCTGACAAACTGTCCTCCACAGTAAGTAAGGTAAGATTTTGGGGATTTTTTGCAACAATTTTGATTTTTTTTCTTCAAATCGAAATTTGGGGGTTTTTTTCCAAAATTTTGAATTTTTTTATTGAATTCGAGATTTTTCAAAATTTGGTATTTGGTTGATGCTAATGCACTTCGAAATTGAGTTTTATTTAACCAATTACAAATTTTATTGATAAATTAGGATTATTTGCATGTCTAGGATTGTTTGATGTTGACTGCAGTTACATAACCTTAAGCTCAGGAGTTGCGTGTGTGGATAGGAAGGTTATTGAGCGCTTGCTCGAGATTTCTCGCTGCAAAGGTTTCATTTTTATTTAGTGTTTTGTATTTGTTGAGCTGTTCTTTTTGTATATTGTTGTTTTGGCTTAAAGGGGTGTTAAAATGGGATTTATTGCAACGATTGTCGTAGAAAGTGGGACGAGGGCTCTGAAGTATTTGGGCTTGGACGAGGAGAAGAACTCTTCTGGATTTGATGTAATAAAAAGAAACAATCTTTTATTTTATTTTTTATTTTTTGGTTGTTTTTTCTATTTGTGTTTTCTTGGTTTCCAATGGTTGGTTTTAGTGTGGTAATTTGTGTTTAGCCAACTGATGATTATCCCTTTTCTATTTTTCCCCTTGTAAATTGTAACATCAGTTTAGAAATCATTTGTTTTTTGTGATGGTTTTGGATCTAGAAGTAAATTCTATGCCTGGCATGACTGGATTTGAGCTTCTCCAGAAGATCAAGGATGGTATTTCTTGATGTATTTCATTTGTTTGGGTATCTACATCAATTTCTGGATTTGAGTGGGTGTGTTTTATCAATTTGAATATGAATTAGGGCTAAGCTGATGTTTGGTGTTTTATATCAATTTGAATATGGGTTGAGGTGTTATTTGGTGTTTTATATGAATTTGAATATCAATTAGTGATGTGGTGTTGTTTGGTGTTTTATATGAATTTGAATATCAATTAGAGATGTGGTGTTGTTTGGTGTTTTATATATTTTGAAAGAGGTGGTGTTATTGTTAAAATGGGTTAATGTGTTGTTATTGTTGAATTGTATCATTGTTTGTATTTGTTTCTTATGTTTGAAAATTGTCTTTATTTTTTTTTATAGGGCACCGAACTAAGATATAGTTATGCCTCCTCATACTTCAAATTCTTTGTTGGCGAGCTAGTTTGCCATTCCCAATCGAGCGAAGATCATACTTCGATGGATGTGCTATTAGTTTGATTGTTTGATGGATGATTGTAATTTTATGGATGATGGTTTGTGCTCTAAGTAGTTTGAATTGATGTTTTGGATCTTTTTGATTTGATTTCGAATTATTCATGTTTTCTTAATATTACTACCGCATTTTTGGTGTAAAAGTACTCATTTTCCAGTAGCTAGTACTCATTTAAGGATGTGTTTTTAAATTGTATACCAGTTTCTATTCATAGAAGTGCCTATTTTATTCATAGTACCAGTTTTGTATTGTTATAGTACCGGATATTAGCTCATCAGTACCACTTGTAACGAACACATAAAATACCGAATTTCGGTCTCAAATGATGTTTACATGACAAATAATCACTCTCACACTAGTTTTTATGAGATTTATAATGTTTTTAATTAAGTTTAATTGCAAATTGGTCGTCGACTTGACATACTAATGACATAACACTACCAACACTTCATCTCCTTAAAATTGTACCAATTTTAGGAAAAATAGTACTGCATCTTCTTCTACGTGTACCTTATTTTGACCGATTAGTACCTTTTTCTGTTAAGAAAAATTGATTATTTCATTGGGGTCAACATTTACAAAAAGTAGTACCAGTCATAGTGTAAGTCAGTACCACATTATGGAGAGTTAGTACCAGATATCCTGTCCCTAGTACCACTTGTAATGAACACATAAGAAGACCGAATTTCAGTCGCAAATGATGTTTATACGACTCATGATCACTCCGACATTAGTTTATATAAGATATTATATGATTTTGATTGAGTTTAATCGCAAATTGGTCATAAACTCGATACACCAATGAGAAAACACTACTACTAGACTTCATTTCATTGAATGACACACTTCATCTCATAGAAATCATCATACATGACTACTTCAAATTTTATCTATATGTTTTCAATTTCACTTTTTTTTCATCCAAATCACGTGTGAACGATCCACGTTTCATGGTAGACATGAAGGATTAAAGAAATCGCGTTTTTGATAATAGTACCGGTTTTGGGATATATGGTACCGCATCTTATTCTGCGTGGTACCTGATTTCGATCGAATAGTACCTACTTCTTTGAAGAAAAATTGATTATTTCAATTCTGCTCAACATTTACAAAAAGTAGTACCAGTCATAGTATAAGTCAGTACCACATTCTAGAGAGTTAGTACCAGATATCCTGTTCCTAGTACCACTTGTAATGAACACATAAGAAGACCGAATTTCGGTCGCAAATAATGTTTATACGTCCTATGTTCACTCTGACATTAGTTTATATAAGATTTTAAATGTTTTTGATTGAGTTTAATCACAAATTGGTCGTAAACTCGATACACTAATGAGAAAACACTACTACTAGACTTCATTTCATTGAATGACACACTTCATCTCATAGAAATCATCATACATGACTACTTCAAATTCTATCTATATGTTTTCAATTTCACTTTTTTTTTTCATCCAAATCACGTTTGAACGATCCACGTTTCATAGTAGACATGAAGGATTAAAGAAATCGCGTTTTTGATAATAGTACCGATTTTGGGATATATGGTACTGCATCTTATTCTGCGTGGTACCTGATTTCGATCGAATAGTACCTACTTCTTTGAATAAAAATTGATTATTTCAATTCTGCTCAACATTTGCAAAAAGTAGTACCAGTCATAGTATAAGTCAGTACCACATTATGGAGAGTTAGTACCAGATATATTGTTCCTAGTACCACTTGTAATGAACACATGAAGACCGAATTTCGGTCGCAAATAATGTTTATACGACCTATGATCACTCTGACATTAGTTTATATAAGATTTTAAATGTTTTTGATTGAGTTTAATCGCAAATTGGTCGTAAACTCGATACACTAATGAGAAAACACTACTACTAGACTTCATTTCATTGAATGACACACTTCATCTCATAGAAATCATCATACATGACTACTTCAAATTCTATCTATATGTTTTCAATTCCACTTTTTTTTATCCAAATCACGTGTCAACAATCCACATGTCATGGTAGACATGAAGGATTAAAGAAATCGCGTTGTTGATAATAGTACCGATTTTAGGAAATATGGTACCGCATCTTATTCTGCGTGGTACCTGATTTAGATCGAATAGTACCTACTTTTTTTGAAGAAAAGTTGATTATTTCAATTCTGCTTAACATTTACCAAAAGTAGTACCAGTCATAGAGTAAGTCAGTACCACATTATGGAGAGTTAGTACCAGATATCTTGCCCTAGTACCACTTGTAATGAACACATAAGAAGACCGAATTTCGATCGCAAATGATGCTTATATGACCCATGATCACTTTGACATTAGTTTATATAAGATTTGATATTTGGTTAGTTAAGTTCAATCGCAAATTGGTCACGAACTCAACACACTAATGGAAAAACACCTTAATATACTTCAACTTATTGAATGGTACCAATTTAAACGGAAATACTACCTCCTTTTCTTCTACGTAGTACCTGTTATTGATCGATTAGTACCAACTTTTGTGACGAAAAATTGATTATTTCAATTCTGCTTAACATTTACAAAAAGTAGTACCAGTCATAGTGTAATGCAGTACCACTTTATGGCGCGATAGTACTAGATATCATGTCCCTAGTACCACTTGTAATTAACAAAAAAGAAGACCGAATTTCGGACGCAAATGATGTTTATACGACCCATAATCACTATGACATTAGTTTCTTTGATATTTTATATTTGGTTAATTAAGTTTAATGGCAAACTGGTCATGAACTCAACACACGCATGGAAAAACACTACTTAATATACTTCAACTCATTGACTGTTACCAGTTTTTACGGATATAATACTGCCTTTTCTTCTACGAAGTACTTGTTATTGATCAATTAGTACCAGCTTTCTGGAATAAAAATGTAATACACCGATTAAAACTTCACAAAACTATTACCTATATTGCAGTATGAAATGTCAGTATATTGTACAAAAAATATTACTCATAAAGTGTCATTTACTACCCACTCTTTGGAATGAAGATGAGTACACAAGTATGGACGAGATTGCATTTTCGGATGGCAAATTGGTTATCCCTTTTGTATAACGATGCATATACTCTCCATTCGCAATCCGCATCGCTACAACAAACGATGACCTTTTGCTTGTCATTTTTCTGAAACTTAAAAGACCGCTTGTTTGCAATCGTGTAGTTTTTGACACTCTTTCGAAATCGTCAGCCCCACTGAATATCTGCCCCTCTCATTTGATGCAAGATCTCCAATAATAGATCGATTCATCTTGCAACAATTCTTCTTCTCCCTCCGAGAAATCATCAGACTGTACGTTTTTCCGATCACAACCCTCATCGCTACAACAAACAATCACCTTATGGTGATCATTTTTCCAATACTTAAAAGAGCGCTTATTTGCAATTGCGAACCGACTAGGGTATTTTGGACACTTCATGTATATCGACCGGGGCATTTTTGGTACTTCAATTAGGTATTTCATTCTATACAAAGGAGATGAGTTAACCTAAAACCCTAACTTTCACTCTCTCTATTCATTTCTCACGGCTGCTGCTCCCACTGAGCAAAGCTCTCTTTATCTCTCTCATACTGACTTGAGCGTCGGAGGCGCTACATCGAAAATACATCCGGCATTGAGTTCCTGGAAAAATCGTGTTTATATAGGATTTCTGTGTAAAATTTGGGTGATTTTTGGTTAGAGAGATTGATGAAGAAGGCGAGGAAAATTAGGGGGACATAAAGCCCTCCCGCTAAGGCACCTCCTCCTTTAGATAAGAAAAAGAAACATCAAGCCCCTCAGATTTATCTCGATGATGTCCATCATCGGGGTATATATATGTATATTTAATGGGCCCGATATTATTACAAGCGGTGTTATTTTTTAGCCTTAACAATAAGATAAAACATAACAATTGATTTAATACATATCCACGTGTAATATCTTAATAGGCGATTCCAAAATTAGGTATCAACAGTTATATCTCAAAATATTTATATTTTAAGGATATTCGATTGACATTCATATTGCATATATAAAATAAAAAATATTTACATCTGTCATTATAAATAAATAAAAATATATTTATTAAAAAAAATAATTTGAAAAACATGAAGACAACATAAATTATTTTATGACAAATATAATAAAAATCTAATTCAGTAATACACCATAAAATAATCATTTTAATTCATATTAGCATAGATTTAAAATTATATAAGAAAATTAGATGCAAAAATACGGACCCCATTTTAAAGTAATTATTACTTTGTTAGTTATTCATTCCTTTTTTTTATATACATTCATTATACATAATTTTACAACATAAAAATAAATTATTTTAGTTTTTTTATTGTACACATATTAATATATTTACGTACACTTGTAGTACACGGGTATCGTCCTAGTTGATATATATTCCTCTTGAAAATTAGATCGATCTTTGAATAAATATTTTTTTAATAATGTTTGAAATTTATAATTTAGTATAATATAGATTTATAGATTTAGTATAGATTTATAGAT